AAGGCCACCTTCCCTTGGGGGAAATGCCAGGGGGTCTTATTAGGTGGATTACTTCATCTTTTGGAGGGAAGAATGATAGAAAGGGCCCACAGGACAGATTACCTCAAGGTGGGGGGGGGGGGGGGTGGGGGTTGAGGGGGTGATTAGAAAATGTCAGATTGATTGGCTTAAAATTCTACTCCTAGAGAGGGTAAAACTACAATTAAATCTTGGTTTGCTCTCCTGGGGTCAAGTGACCCCACTGTGGGCCTATGGCTTTTTTTTTTTTTTTTTAACATACCTAGCAGGACATCAGGGGACGCCATCTTCCCTCAAAATGCTGAGGGTAACGTAGGGCTGACCTTTGAAGTCAGAGCTGAATTTTAGTTCATCTCCATGTCAGTTTCAGAGTGTCTTCAGATACTCTGAAGTATCTGACAGACATCTCTGACTTCTGTTTTGTCACCTGTAGAATAGGGATAATCCCACTTGCGTTACAACTTTCTTAGTGAGAATTAAATGAGTGTCTTGATGCAAAGGGCTAATAAATGGTGAAGAGCAAGAGGTGCGGGTAGGTGATAGGTATAGTTTAGAGGCTAGAAAAGGACTAAGATGCTTAGAAAAGGGCATCCTGAATGATAAAGTTTTTTAAACTTTTGCAAAAAAAAAAAAAACACTTTGATAAGGGGTGCCTGGGGTGCTCAATTGGTTAGGTGTCCAACTCTTAGTTTCAACTCAGATCATGATCTCACAGTTGTTGAGTTCGAGCCCTGAAGTGTGGAGGTTGCTTGGGATTCTCTCTCTCTCTCTCTCTCTCTCTCTCTCTCTCTTCGGGTATTTCATCCATTGTAGAGTTGCCCATCTTGCAGAAAGAGGGTGGGAGGGTGTGATGATGACTTAGAGCTGGGAGCTGGGGCCTGGCATGTGAAGGGCAAAGAGATTATAAGGAGAGCTCAGCAAGAATGAGAAAAAGGGGGAAGTTTTTAACAGCTGCTAAAAGTGTGGAAATTGTCGGGCAGAAAATTATGTCCCAGTTTTCTGGGATGTGTCTTTGTGGGGTATGATATAAAATCCCTGAGTACTTCCTCTTTAAGGGAACCTACACAAAAGGTCTATATTACGTTTCAAGGTTTCTAACTTCAGATTTGTGTTTCTTTTGAGTGTGATGTTATGTTTATACTGAGACACATGGGGCCATAGCATTTATTGGGGTTACAATGACCAGGCATCTTTTTCTTCTTTCATTCAATTTTTTTAGATCTCCTTTACTGCTGTTTTTTACCAGCCAGTAGACTCTTTATTCATTGTAACAGCATGTGATTCCTATCTCAAGATATATTGCAGTTTATAATATATTATTTTATATCATTTATACAGTTTATTAAATTTTCTCTTATGTATTAGATAAGTGATTTCACAAGATTTAGGAGTTCCTTTTCTTTCACGGAGTGTTATACTTTGAAATCATGTTTCAGAGTTGGTTATTTCTGGGAAGATTTCCCATACATGGCTAATTCCACTGTACGTAAATTATCAGTATCCAGAAGCTACAGTCTGCCTGTCATCAGGCCACATTCTGACTCAATTTTCAGGAAATCCAGTACTTTCTAAACTATTCAGAAAGTTGGAGAGTGAGGTCATGTAGGCCATGTAGATTTGGATACTTGATGTACTTTAATTAATTTTAAATAAGAGCTTAGAGAGAACCAAATATAATTTGATATCCCTTACTTTCCACTGTAGTTGATTTTTGGTAGCTTGGTCCAAAAGATGGGTAAAAATGGTTATGATAAATCACTGTATTCCTTACCCATTCACCTTTTAGAATCAAAGAGAAACAATAATTTGGATACAGTTTTTATAGAGAAGACAAAACAGAAAGTTCTGACTGCAATATATTTAAAATAGAATCAGGCTTGCATCAGTGGAGAGCAGTGCAGTTCAAACTTTAAAGTTTTCTCCTACAAATTTTGTCACTGAGAACACTCTTGCAAAAGGGGAGCAACTTAATTAAATAGCAAGTATCATCAAGAACTTTTCCTGAGCTATGCTTCAGAGGTGGTGGGTGAGCTACATGGGACAGGATGAGTCAAGAGAAGAGTGTCAGAGCCCAGACCATCTACAGAGATGCCTTGTCAACAGGGTGGTCTACGAACTAGGAGCTCCCAGGGCAGACCTGGTTTCTGTCTTTCTTTCCCACATCATTACAGGTTTATTAATTTGGGCAGATGGTATAGTTTTTTGATCAGAAGGTATGGTCACCATACTTACAGAGGAAAGTAGATTGCCCTTCCCAGAAGGTACACAATGAAGGGAAGGCTAGAGAAGATGTGGACTTTAAGAAAGAAGGGAAGTTTTATTGGTTTGTTTTTAAGGGTAAAGGAAACTGTACACTTGTGTAAGCAGAAGAGAATCGATGGAAAGGAAGGGATTGATGATGGACATAACCATGGAGGCAAGTTGAATAGACTTATTCACAAGCCTGAGTGGGCCTTGGGGAGGAGGAGGTACACACCGTTCTCAGGGAAGGAAGTGAAACATAAGAAACAGAGGCATCTGAACTAACAGAAATAGTCCCTGACGCTTGGCAGTTATCATAGTGTAGTAAACATGTAGTAAGCATCAAACATGGTAGCTACACTTGTGATGAGCATAGCATAATGTCTAAAATTGTCAAATCATGTGTTGTACACCTGAAACTAACATAACATTGTGTGTCAGCTACACTCAAATAAAATTTTTTTTAAAAAATAAATAAATATAAGGAAAATACAAGGAAAATAAATATAAGGAAAATACAATACTCCCAAAATACAAGTTTGGGAGTGTCAGAAGAATAGAATGGCTATACTGCAGAGGTAAAGAGGACAGTGAGTTATTTAGCAAAAAATAAATAAATTCATGTCAAGTCTGAAGCTTCCCTGAGGGCCCAACTGAAGTTAGATAGCATAAATTAACCAGCATACCATCACTAAGTAGCACCAATGTCATTGTCATCATATAGCAGCCCAGAAGTCAATTATGGATGGTTGAGTTTGCCAAGGATTGGGAACTACATGTGGTGGGAAGTCAAGGTGACTTGGGAGGGCATCTTGAGTGTTGTAGGCGCCATGTTAAAACGCTAAGCATGCACCAAGACCAAGGCCAGGAACTTGAAGTCTGCCAAGGACAGAGAAGGTTTAGTAGAAAGGGAAGAAGGCAAAGGCAGTCAGATTCAAGGCCAAGGACTTCAGAATTCAGTACTACAGAGACAGAGCACTTTGGAGTGATGATTCCAAGGCTGTCTACAATAGAAATTTTAAAGAGTCAAGGATGCCAAGTTCTGAATGTTGACAGAGCCTTCTTTTTTCACTTTTTTTCTAAACTTTATTTATTTTGAGAGAGATACAGTGAGCAGAGGAGGAGCAGAGAGAGAGAATCACAAGCAGGCTCTGCTTTGCCAGTGCAGAGCCCAACATGGGGCTTAAACTCACAAACCATGAGATCATGACCTGAGCTGAAATCCAAAGTAAGACACTAACTGACTAAGCCACCCAGGTGCCCAGATGAAGTCTTCCTTATAAAATTTACTACTGTCCAATGTCCAAGCTGGATGACAGTCAGCAATGAGGAATGCCATACCATCAGAAAGGCTTTATTCTCCCAAAGGATCAACAAGGCTATTTTAAGAAATCAGAATGTAAGAAAGATTCTAGGGAAATAGAATGTGGTCCCTGCATAAACCACGCTATAGGAAGCATGAAGAGGAACTGGCCAGGGAGGGACCTCTGGGAAGGAAAAGGTGTGAACTGGATGAGGAGCAGGAGCAATTTGGCCTGCCTGCAGGGCAGCATTTCCTGAGGGGCTCCCAGCAGCTCTGGTCTACACCGAGTGCTAGTAGGTGTGATATGTAAAGTGTGACTCTGGGGAAGCACTGGATTAAGCCATGTAAATGGGTTTCTTTATTGCAAGACCCCTTATAGCCTTTAACAGTATACCTGTATGCCTCGTGTTTCCAGGAAGAGGATTTGTGACATGAATACATGATGTTTCCCCAACTTAGCCACAAAACTGATCACATTTGGGAAATTCTGTTCTAGTGCTCATCATATGTTTTTGAATAGCTTTTTAAATAGATGGATGGGTGGCTGGGTGGATGGATGGTTAAGTAGATGAATGAATGAATGAATGAACGAACAAATGAATGAATGAACGAATGAATGAATGTATAAATGAATGACTTGTAGGCAGGAAATTCAGAGACAGATGGGGGAGTGGTCAAAATAAAGTGACTTTGTGCTAAGGGAATAATTTGGAGCCTATGAACACATTTGGTTCTTCTGTCTAATGCACTGGCCACTCTCTCTCCCTCACTGCTTTCTTACTGTCACTTGTGGAGCAAGGAACAAGGTTTATTTGTTTGTTTTATTTATGTAGCTACATCTCCTTATTACTGATTCCTCCCTTACTTTTATAGGTGATTCTGTCCCTGAAAACCTCCAAATGGTTCTCAACAGAATTGGTCTTTGAGGATAGGAGGTTGGCAGGCAGACTATGAAGTTTTGAACCTTGTGTGCAGAGGGCCCCCAGGGTCTCCTGGATGTTTATACCCACGTTGCACATACATGTACATGCCTCTCCCCCTCCAGCCTTCTTTCCTCTTCCATCTCAATTCCTGTGCCCCCACCCACCCTCATTTCTTTTCAGTCTGATGGTTAGCACTGGGGGAGGAGGAAACAAATGGTACATTTTCCTCCTCTACCACTCTGTAAAGAGTCACAGTGAACTGATTAGAGAATGGTGTGTGAGACCAATTCCACTTTTGAAAATGGGAAACTGAGCCTTTCCCCACCCCGCAGGGGGCAGAAGCAAGCAGGCAGGACAGTTATCAGAAGGGTCTCCATAACAAGATAGTATAGAAACTATTCAGCAAGCAGAAACTTGGTTAAGAAACCTGTAAGATTTTTAATAGCTCTCAAGTAAACATCTGTTGTAAGGATATCAGCCTTGGTGTCACCACAGCCTTTGTTGCTTTATTTCAGAACGCCAGCCAGGTGCCTCCATGGCCAATTCTAGTGCCCTCCCTTCAAGTTCAGCTGGGATCAGCAAGGAGCTGATTGACCTGCAGCCCCTCATTCAGTTCCCAGAGGAAGTCGCCAGCATCCTGATGGAGCAGGAACAGAACATTTACCGAAGGGTCTTGCCAGTTGACTACCTTTGCTTCTTGACCCGGGACTTGGGCTCTTCAGAATGCCAGACGTCCCTGCCCTGCCTCAAAGCGTCCATCTCAGCATCGATTCTTAACTCCCAGAATGGAGAGCACAATGCCCTGGAAGATCTTGTGATGAGATTTAATGAGGTAAGAAACCACTTGGAGATGTGGCGATTCAATCACTAGTAAGTGATTTTTAAACATATTTCTTCTTTTAGGTTTGTCTGTTACTGGTGTCTCATCTACCTGTTGGTCTTGCCACTTCCACGATAGGTGCTTTCTTTCCAAGCAATGAGATCAGCAACACAGTGTTACCCTACTTTTCATTTCCCTCCCACCTGCCATTGGTCTAACTGATTCTGTCCCCACCTCCGTCTTCACCAAGTCCACGGGCCTTCTCCTTTTGGACAACCAGTACCTGCCCTTTTCTCCCCTTCATTGCCAAAATACTCTCCCTGGGCCCATTTGCCAATATTCCCCTTATTGTTCCTACAAGAGCTTTTAAGACCACGTATCACAGAGTTGAGTTTTGACAGTGTCATCTCTGGCAATGGTATCCATCTAGCCCACCCCTTCTTTCACTACCAGGGCTCCTACACAGAAATTTAAAAACCAACACACCTGAGTCAGGAGCATGGGGACAAATGTGGGTTTGAGAGGCAATCAATCATACCACTCCTGTTCCCTGCATGCCATCAAGATCCTCAGCCCTAGAAAGTCCCTCCAAGGCCTCTGAGACCTTACCAGAAGCCAGTACTGGTGAGAACATCTGTGACCAGAGACTGGAAATACTAGAGTAGTTTCTTAATTTAGTCATCCAGTAAACTACTAAAATGCTGAGGTTGCCCCTGTTCTGTGCCCCATATATCTCTGATGGACAGAAGGTCGGTCAGACTTTGTTACTTAAACCCTTTCCAACTGTGTCAGCTCATCTTGCAGCCTCCACAGCCTGCCAATAATGACTCCCAATGATGGTTGTAAATGTCAGTGATCATGATAAGGCCCAGTGGATGCAGAAAGTATTAGAGGCTGAGCCCAAGAAATTCTGTGTCCAGACATGCCCCAAACACCATTCCTCAAAAGGAGATCTGTTATCCACAGGAATTGCTGATACCATCTGGTATTGTCATGCTCATCATTTCACATATACCATTTATTTGCTCCTCCCAACAACCTTGGGAGACATCTAGATACTCTCGTTAGCCCCATATTACCCATGGGGACTCTGGGGCACCAGGACGTGAAGTCATTTGCCCAAAGGTACATAGGTGATCAGTGGCAATAGTGATATCCAGACCTACATCATCAGGCCTCAGAGCCTGGGCTGTGAACCACTACACTACCCATTCCAGGCTCACATGGATAGGTGGCACTTGATCCCTCCGCTAAGCGAGTAAGACAGACTCTCTGGGAGTCTACTTGAGAGCCTGTGAACCACACTGCCCCTAAATTGCTTTTTAAAATAAATCTCCTGATGTTCTTGATTTTCCTTACTGATAAAAACAGGGTGGAAAATGGAAGTTCCAGTAAATTGAGTATTTTGTTAGTAGATTTTACTGTATTTTATGTATTGCTTTAAACTTCTAAATCTACTCACTCTTCATGGCCTTAGGACCTTGTCCGTTGTTGTTTTCATTGTTGTTCTAATTCTACCTGAAGTTTGCCTTGCCTGAACTTTTAAAACCTAATTTTAAATTAATTTTGGAGAAAGAAAACTTCAGTTTCTTCCATTCATCCCCATAACCTCAGGAATCAAAGATGAATCAGTGATTTCGCTAATTCAGATTTAGTGATGATACGAAGCACAGCTGGGTTGCAGCATGCTGTGGACTATCTCTGAAAATAGTTTAACTAAGCAACTTCAGAACATAAACAAGATTTCTGGGAAAACACTTAAAGTACTTAAGAGAACAGTCTGTTTTCAAGTATTCTCAAGCATCTATTTTCATACAAATTATGGGTATACTGATTAAAAATCAGTCCTATGTATGGTCATTACAGGCAGACCGGAAACAACTTCCAGTAGGCAACACTGGCTAACTAACTTCTAGTTGCTTTATATGCCTTAGTGTAGGAAGAGAATTAAAACAGAATTCTTAAAATAAGATTTTCACCTCTTTAGAAGGGTCTTGCCTCCAGAGTAGTATGGCTTTACCTTCTGTAAAGAAAAGGGAGGAAAGGAGCTAGCATTTATTTCCTAGGTGCTCTGGACTAGACATTTTTACATTTTAAATCCCGTTTAATCCTCGTGATAGTTGTGTATGGTGGATGGCATTATCCCTGACTCACAGATAAAGAAAGTAAAGCTTAAATAAAAAAATAAATAATGATAGTATTGGGTTATGATTCATGGATTAGGATTCATGAGTCCATCCTGATATAAATAAATGATTAAATTAATAGGGGAGGGTTAGCTCTTAATTATAAAAGAATCAATTAATAAATGTAGCAGGATGAGAGAAATAGGAAATCACCATTAGGATCCACCAGCAACAACCACCGATGAATGCTAATATTATTGGGCAAAAGTATGATAAAAAACAAGATATTGGCTTAACCTGGGAGTATCTCTTCACAATGGGTGTGTGGCTGGCTCAGTAGGAAGAGCATTTGTCTCTTAATCTTGAGGTCATGAGTTCGAGCCCAATGTTAGTATAGAGATTACTTAAAGAAATAAAAACTGTAAGTATCTCTCCATAAAATATTTATTAACTTCAAAAGGGAAATAGAACCATGGAGAAACCCAGTATACACCACCTTAAGTAAGTGCTCCAGATCAACATGACCAGTAATAAGACATATTGACATATAACTCTTGCTACAGTGCCTCTCCTCTCTACTTGTTAAATTATCAAGTTCAAGGGGCACCTGGGTGGCTCAGTCGGTTAAGGATCCAACTTCAGTTCAGGTCATGATCTTGCAGTTGGTGAATTAGAGCCTCATATCGGGCCCTGTGATGTCGGCTCAGAGCCTTGAGCCTCCTTTGGATTCTGTGTCTCCCTCTCTCTCTTCCCTCCCCTGCTCATGCTCTCTCTCTCTCTCTCTCTCTCTCAAAAATAAACATTTTTAAAAAATCTTTTAAAATAAATAAATATATAAATAATCAAGTTCAAGTTTATAGTAAAACCAGAATTGCTGAGTAAGAATTTAATTAATCTGAGTCTCCTTTCCCTTAACCCTCTCTTTCTACTTCCTTTCTAAATCTTCTGTGCATCTATTCTTTTTCTATTCTTTCTGTTTCTATTTTTGTCTGATTTCCTATTATCATTCATTTGTTCGTTCACTTAAGACTTACTTATTGTGCATCTCCTGTGCTATAGCCTTCCCTTTTTTCCATTGATGTGGCAAACATATTTTTCTAAATAAGAAATTAGCAGTATATGATAAAAATTGACAACATTATAAGACCATACTTCTGATCTGTCAAAATAAATGCACTTTCCTTCTTGGAAGGAAGATATATATTTCTTGGAACACTGGAGAATCTCAAAGACAAAAGAGAGAATATTAGCTCCATGGCAAGAGTGTTAGTCACTTAGGGGAGCAGTGAATGCATTTATTTATGCATTCAATTATTCAGTTAACATATTTTCAACACTTCTCAGAAGCAGGACACCATGGTGGATAAGCACTGAGGAAAATGAGTAATAGTCTGCGGCTGCCAGAAGCTACTAGTCTTAAACTGTAGTCAGGCACGAGCACAAATCACTACCGAAAAAGGCAGAAAGTACGTGCAGTGTTAGTGGCACAGATGTGGGAGTTGAGGCATCTAGATGGGTGATCAGAGCTCTCTCTGCTCAGCTTTGGAGGTTTGGGGCTGGGCCTTGAGGGATGGCTGGGATAGAGGGGGAACATCACAGGGAAGGGAGGTTATTCCAAATGAGAAGACAACCAGTTGTTATGAGCAAGACTCATTGTCTAGGGAGGCAACTTTCTCCTGATTGTCATTTGAACATGATCCTGAGCTAGAAGTTTCCCAAATTCTAACAACTCTTTACACAATGACTTAACTGTAATGTAGGGAAAGGGGAGAAAATCCCCCGACGCCTTTCGGGCAATGTTGCATAACATTTGTTCTCAGGAAAATATGGTTAAAATGCAATTCAAAGTACAATCATAAAATAACTGGAAAAATGACTTACATGAAGGAAGGTCAAGAGATAAATTATTTAAAATCAACTCAAAGGAGCGCCTGGGTGGCTCAGTTGGTTAAGTGTCAGACTCTTGGTTTTGGCTCAGGTCATGATCTTGCGGTTTCATGAGTTAGAGCCCCGTGTTGGGTTCCATGCTGGCAGTATGGAGCTTTCTTGGGATTCTCTCTCTCCCTTTTTCTCTGACCCTCCCCCACTCATGCTGTTTCTGTCTCTTTCTGAATAAGTAAACTTAAATAAAATAAAATAAACTTAAATTGTGACTTGGAAGCAGTGTTTCTCTCTGTTCCCCCTTCTCCTGCCCAACATCAAGACAGGTGCACACCAGAGTAACTTCTTAAAGGCAATCCTCTCTTTATCCTTGCAAACAAATAGAAGATGCAAGGGGTCAGCCCTCAAGCTGACCTGTGGAAGTCAGATCTGGGGCTTGGGGGGGAGGAAGGCTTAGTTCTGCTTTACTTGATTTGGGAGATAGGTCTTCCTGAACCCTTTTGATCTGGACACAAATCTGTAGTCATACTCTTGGTCTAAATCTCCAAGAAACCTGTGTTTTATCTTTCTCTTTTCAGGGTGAGCAACCTCACTTCCTGACCACTCATAGGATCTTGCTTTGACAGTCTCAAATCACACTGGGGGTTTTCCCCCCATTTTCTTCCCCTATCCCGCCTCTACTCTAGCCCACATTCCTTTTGATTTTACTGCTTTTTCATTTCTTTTAGAATAAATTCCAGGGCCACTTATCTTTTCAAGAGGAGATAGGGAGGCATTTTTTTTTTTTTTTTGGTAGGTAACTTCACTGAAGAGATCACATACTCTAGCACATGAGCTGAAAAGAGATGAGAAGCTATTAAAGATTGAAGACCATCCTTACTCCCTTCGCTTTCATACACCTTTCTTCCCCCCTCACTCCTGAGGACTATGGTGGAACATGGGGGTTGGTGGTATTCTGGGATCAAATTTCAGAGTCACTAGTTCTCAAACCTTATGCCTCTTCAG